TTTTTCATTTCCCAGGGCCAAAGGCATCTTCACTTTTGGACCAAAAGACGAGAAGGCACATGGAAACCTGTGCCCCAACCGGAACCTGTGCGGATCGCTAGCTGACGAGGTATGGGCAGGAATAACTTTTTCCATCGGGAAAAGTTTATTTTTCACCACTTCAGCAATCCAAATGATACTGTTGTATTAATTTCCTTTCGTGAATTAACGAGGGACAGCCCTAATTTGATGACCCGAATTAGCGGACGAGGACACTAAACGCGGCCAAGAAATTAAGCCCACGAGGGAGACGACCTAAGAAATAAAGTAACTTGCACAGATGGAAGATATTCCCATTCGACCCCAACATGGGACTGGAATATGCTGCCGATCCATTGACCATCCCTGTCTGTATGCCGACAGTCCCACGCGTCGCGTCTTGACCGGGACGACGGACCGATGAGTCGCTGCGGAGTGACGGTCTCTTCCGTATCTTCAGAGCGGCGCCGATCCGGGGCAGAACGGTTGTGCTTCTGTGTTGGCCTCCACCTAATAGCAACGGCCTCCAACCTAGTAGCCATGGCCTCCAAGCTAACAGTTGGGTCAACTTTGCTGCTTCCAGGTTTCACCCAGCTCCTTTTTCTCTTAGATCTTACAAGAATCTTCGTTCTGTCGAAAAGGGCGTTAAAAACGGCATCTGTTGATATCCGAGTTAATCACGCCCGTAGCGCCACGCCACGCTGCGGAGCCCTTCTTCGAGCCCGCTGCGGGGCCTATCATGCAGTTGAAGCAAACCCAGACGCGACGAATGGGACTGCCATCTATGCTGATCAGTTGGGGTCGTAGGGGGTCAATTGATCGGCAGTCCGACATGGCAGTCCCAGGCAGGTCGTGTCTGGGAAAGCGAAAGCCCTTCGTTTCGTCCGACACACCAGTTACGTCTCGGATGAAAAAGACCATGGCCAGCTCCTCCCTGTGGCCCGCTCATTTTCCTGTGAACCACCACTTCTGCGGACGGACGATGGGCTCACACATGGCACATCAAACTAGTGGCAAGAGTCTAGTGCTTATTTGGTTGACCCCCTGGGCATTCTTAAGTGGGCTTCGCAACACGCTTCCAACTCTGATCCAACTGAAATTGGATGGATTCCTATAGGCATGTGCTGGGCGCGTTAGTCTCGTGAAGTGCAAACTGGACATGTTTCTTTTGCCACCAAAGTTTCTTGTTTTCCTAAGAATCCGGGCCCGAACCAGTCGGAAGGGTTGGGTTCGGCCGGACTTCTGCGAAGGTGTTGTGCGATTCTTAGGGTTTTTCCATCAGTTCGGAGTTTCTTTGCTCCAAATCGCGGTTCTTCCCCTCGAACAGAAACACCACACCAACTCCAAGAATCCTCCCAGGCCATGGTCATCTACCTTTGGGTCATGGCAGTGGGCTACTTGACCTTCGGCTCCAATGCCGATGGTCTCATCCTCAACAACTACTCCGAGAAGGCCCAGCTCCCGGATGTTGCAGAACATGCGAGCTAGTAGCACGGTGCGAGCAGAGCGAGCGGATGGCAGTGGATGGAGTGGTTCAGAATGGGTGCTTGGGGTAGGGAACCCAGTGGGGTGTGGTCGATTTTCCTTCGTCCAGGAGGTTCTGGTCATGGGGGCTCTTCCTATTATACATACTCACAAAAGACCAAGCTTCCCAGTGATAATAGCTAAACAGAACCTGAGAAAACCATGCCCAGACACTCCATGGGACTGGCATATTTGCCGATTAGTTGGGGTGGTTGAGAAGGGGTCAATGTAGGTAAATATTCCATACATGGAGCGTTTGGGATGTTTGGCTGAAAGGGATGGTGCGAGAATTGGCGTTTTTGGTCCAAGTCTCTTTAATTCCAGAGTCTGGTTGACTGCCTATCCTGCAGGTGCTACTCTGTTGTTTGCGGAGGGGCAAAACAAGGAAGGCTATGATAAGTGATAAAACAGAAGGCCTTAGCGGCCTCGAAGGACTCTAAAGGTTAAGTCGAGTGGAGAGAACAGGCTTTTTCAGCCGCAAACGACATGCTCAAAGCTATTATTGCAGATACAACTAGAAGAGGAATGGCGATGGCAGTGCGATGGCGCCCCAGAAGTATCGCCTTTTTTCACGCTCCAAGCGCTTCCCCGTCGGTTCCACGTCCACCCGTCCAGGATGTGCTGATCACCACGGCCCGCTTCGCCATCAGCTTTGTTCCTCGGTTGGAACTTGGAGAGGCCAAGGTAAGGTCCCTTTTGGCGGACTGAGGTAAGTATGTTGGCGGACCAGACATTGACCAGGGGTGTCTCATCATTACTGTAGGTCCTGTGAGGGAAGGATGACCCTGATCAGCATCTCTTCAGCATCTGAGCGTCTACGCACAACTGGGCAACATATCAAGAGCATTCAAGAGCTGATTTTTCATTGGCTTGATCCACCCAATTTGGGGGTCATGTTGAAGGCCATGGATGGCCGTTCGGGCATTTGCCCACGGTGGCGGAGTCGAGCATCCCTTCGAAACGGCCGGGCTGGTTGAGGCCAAAGGGGTCGGATCGGCCGACATGCCAGTCCCATGAAGCCTATCCCAGACACGACCTGCGACTGCCATGTCGGACTGCCGATCTGGCGCCAGACCTCCCAAACCACCACCACCCCTGGCCGTTTCTGCAGTCCGACATGGCAGTCAGATGCCTCGTCGCGTCTGAAGACGTCTGGGGAAGAGGACCCGACCCGTTGACACGGTGCCTTCAGCACAGCTTCCGGGGGTTGAAACCAGGGTGGGTTGCTTGGCCGGTTCTGTGGGTGAAACCACCGTGGTTTTTTGGGGCTCCAAAAAACGACTTGACCCCCCCCAAATCGTCCTTTGACCGGTTTTTTCGCCCCAAACCGAAACGGACACATCGAACCTCGAAGCAAGAAACAGAGAACCCCTCCAAACCCGGAACTTCCAATGATTCATTAGAACCTCTACCTGCCAGCACCACCCAAAGAGTCCCCCCTGAAGATGTATTTCCCATCTAATAACCACCCCTTGGGTGGTAGATCCTGGTGGTCCATATGTCTACCATGAACTCAATCCAGTCGAGGGTCCGTTCCGACTACTGGACCGGAAGCATCGCCATCGCTGCCAAAGCCCGCCGGTGCTAAAGCGAAAGGCCGTCCGTCTTGAGTTCCAAAGGCCATGACGAACCAAAGCACACAAGAAGAACAGCGAACCATCAGCGACCATCAGCTGGATATATCCGACCCAAAAAAACACACCGAACTAGGAGATGAGTTTCCGACTTAGAAGGAAAACCAACACACTTCACTTCCCGGAAAAAAAGAGAGCCACAAGAGCCACAAACAAGCTGTTTAACAACTCATCTGTTGTTTTCCGGAGTTTTCCCCACCATCGTTGGAATCCTTTGTTTCCCCCAACCCGGTCCCCGGTCCACACGTCCCTTGCCCTTCCCACCCGAACCCCCCGGACTATGGTGGGAAACCGCCGTGGTGAGCTCCGCTCTTGCCGAGGCCGTGGTCTTCGCCTTTCCCTTGGGCTTCACCGGGCTCCGCGACTCCATGACGCTCGGGGCGACGGAGAGAGACGAAGGTGAAGACGGTGGGAGTGACGAACGAGAGGGACAGAGCGATTTCGAGCGGGGAGGGACGGGGGTGACGGTGATGGAACAAGGTGATGGGTCATAAATTATATATGGTATAGTATAGCATAGTAATATGATATATATATATATTTTATTTATTATCTAAATATCAAAACAGCGATGCAAATAACGATAGATTCAAAAAGGCACACATTGCAAAACACAAATGAATAACTGCCTGAAGCCTGAAGCAAACCAAATGGCAAATGAATACAAAGTTCTGAATTCCAAATAAACCTGATGATGGCCAAACCTCGCCAGGCTCAACAAATCAAACGTGTTCAATGACCTAAACCTTGACAGGTTAAAAAAGGATCAGAGTTTCACAATCTTTGGGGGTCTTCTAAGTCTTCTAGCAGGTTTTGTTTTGTTTTGGATGCATGTCGAAAATCCTCAAGGCTAACACATGAACACTTGACACGCGCGAAAAGATCGTGCTCTTGTATGTGATGTTTAGATGACATGGCTAATCTAAAATCCAAAGGTTGGGGAGGTGCTATGCCAGGACGTGGTAGGCGTATTGAATCCGTGTTTCTTATTGCTCAGCTCTCCTCACCCTGAGGTTCAGATTAAGAAATCTGTCCACAGAAATCGTGGTTCTCACCAAGTGGGACCTGCAACAAGTATTCAATTGCTGAAGATCACATGTATTCATACAAATGATGTATTCATTTACCGCAGGATTTCAGTTAAAAAGTACATTATTTTTGCATGCACTGAGTTCCTTTTTGCACTTTGTGTTTACAGTTCCTTCTATTTGTCAAACTTGACTTGTCAAACCTGCGACCTGCTGGCAATGGCCAATGGCCATGGCCATGCTTCTGCCCCACCTGCTTCGTCCGTCTTTGAAACCAAACAGCGTCCGATCGCTCCTAGTAGCGATGCCCTTTGCTCCTAGTAGCGTGCTTTTAACTAAAAAAGTGAGTCCTGTGACATCAAACTTGGAGTGAAATGTGCGATAAGACACATCACCCATCGTGCCCCCCCCATCTAGTTGTTGAATTGCCATTTGGAACACTCAACTGACTTTGCGCCATTTGGTATTGCAAGTGTTGCAGTGTACGGGCAAGACCTTGTTTCAGCGAGAGTGGGAGTACAAACAAAATGGTTTCTTATCTGTTCCCGCTTCTAAACTTATAACAGGGTCATTTGAGTCTTTCTTTTTGCTAGCACCATGGAAGAACACATCTCCTGGACATCGGTAGTGATTTCAACGGTTTTCAACATGTTCTTGTATTTTCATACACCCTGGTGGTTTCTTCACCCCCGACCATGAAGTAACTTGGCTGCTTCATACCATGTGCTGCAGTAGTTTAGTCCCTCTCGACTCTCCGACGTCGAAGGGGTGGCTAAAAGTGACGTCGAAGGCCTCGCCGACGTCTACCGCCTCAGGATGTCCACCTTTGAAATTCCGGAGGAGCTTTGGTTGTGACGGGCGGGGGTCCGCGTGTGGGCGGGGGTCCGCGTGTGTGGCCGACGGTGGGCGCTAGTGAAGGCGCGCTGGTGGACGCTTTCGGATGGTTGTGGAGGGGGACGGGTTCACCGATGTATACCCGGACCGAAGTCCAGTTCGACGATTTCTTTGACTGACCGAAGTCAAGGACATGCCGAGTCACTTGGGTCACCGTTCGTCAGACCCTTCTTTTTATAGTCTGACCGACTCCCAGGGTACAGCTGTTTGATTTTTTTTCTTCATCCGTGCATCGGTCGGTTTATAATCCCCGGAACTGCTGAAGTCCACCATCCAAATGCAAGTCCTGCTGTGGATCATCTCTTCACCCTAAGAAAGACACTCCCTGGAGTGACGTCTTCACGGCGACGTTGAACTCGCGCGAACAGCAGTCCCAACAGGTGAACTTCACGCCATGCCCTCCAGGTGGTGGTTACACCAGCATGAGGACGGTCACCCAGGGAGGTCCTCCCTGTCCAACCGAGGTGCTTAGGTTTGTGACGAGGTGACGAGGTGACCTGATCGAGCCGTTCGGCGAGCGGGGTGACCAGACAGCTTCAGCTCGCCCCGAGCCAAAGGGGATCACTTTTACCCCCATCAGTTTGGTCCAAATATACAGCGCAGTTTGCTAAGAATTGAGCTGATCACTACGGGTTTGAACCAGAACAGTTTATCCTGGTCCATGCCCATGCCTTCATCTAATCTAGCTGGCCTTGTGTGCTAGATTGGTTGTGTTTCCTGAATTCACATGTTAATCACTTAAGATCAGACACTTAAGTGTTTGAGTCTTCTTTGCTGGATGTGCTGGTGTGATCTTCAAACAGGGCTGTGGAAATATCAGGGCTCCGCAGCCAACTACACAGTTTTATTTAAGAGACGAATCGAACAAATCGAAAAGCCGCAGACAAAGATAGTAAGCAGCAGAGAAAGGAGAACCATGCGCGCTTTCAAAACACCACAGACAGGCTCGAGAGGAATATTACATCTGTTCGAACGTGCTCCCAATACATTCTTCTCATTATTATATACTACTTTTTTTTGGTCGATGTGGGTTGATGATAGCTTTTGGGTCTCAAATGATGGAAGAACCAAACCAAACCTGAAAAACGAGCCCCGACCCAAGATGTGCTTCATTTGATTCTTGAGAGGATCGCTTCCTTCCGGTGACCTTTGGACTTTTGAGCGTCATCGTCCTGGGCGCCTGCTGCTTTCATGACCTGGGCCTCGTGCCATGGCTGAGAGGGTTTTTGAAAGATCAGGTTTTCGCATGTTCTGGAGCCTCTTGGGTTTGGGAGATGGGTTTTTAACACGCATATCCGCAAGGCCCGCGTGAAACCACCTTCACGCGCCCGAGCAGTGCTTTCAAGAGACATCCCGACTGCGAAGGTATCGAGTTGGTTCTAATCATTTGATGCAAAAGAAGATGCAAACAAATCACATCCATTTTTTGATACATCGTTATTGATGCCTCGATTGGATTCACGCGATCGTGTTGGACATTCTCCTTTTCTAAGGCGAACAGCCTGGGTGGTGCCGTGCTGGGTGCGATGATCACCTTGATCTTCCCAGGAATCCTGCATCTTGGTGCTGGCCAGTTTTGCCGGTGATGCGGTGGGATGGATGTTGGGGGGAATGTGGCGCCTTTAAGGGCCTTTTTGGTGGAAAAGGGAGGTTTGCCCGGAAGGATTTAGATGGTGGATGGTCATTGCCAGGTCAAATTTTGAAAGTAGCATCATTTTCAGGATCTGGTGGATCTGCTATTCCGCACCTTTGCCAGGTTTGTCAATGTAAACATGTTGATCCTTGCCACACTTTGTCAGGACTAAAAACAGGCTCCATATGTCTGAGGTTGCACCATCACTTTAAACAAATATTTAGAACCCCTAGACGTTTGGTAACATCCACACATGCCCTACTCGTATGCACTCGTTTAGATATCAGACGATGTCTGACCGTCCGGCATTCCAGTTCGATGGGAGGCATCCGGAGGCATCGCCGGGTTCGGCCGCTTCGCTGCTCGTCTTTCGAGGCTTTACTGCGCGGGGCAAAAGCAGTTCCTTGGAACGTTTGTTTCGGTGGAAGAACACCGGTGGAACCGCAAGAAGTTGGTGGAGACCGATCGTGGTCGTCTCCTCCGTTTGTGTTTGGACGAAGGAATGTTCGGTCTCTGACCGATAGGAGGAACCTGCGACGTGCGCACCCTGATTCGACCATCCTTCGACCATCCGGAATCTTCCGGGATTCAGAGGGTTATTGGAGGCACGGGATACGGGCGAGTATCGAATGAGAGTAATTCTTCTGAGTAGGTATTCTTCTGCAGAGTATAGTTGAATGTTTGCTTTTTGTGATGTTTAATATCGCTTGTGCCAGCTACTCTATTCTACAAGGCTGAATCTTTTTTTGTAGATTGTAGTGACTGAACGCTCCGTATTTGTGTCGGAATTGCAGATGGACAAGTGAGAAGAGGTTTCGGTACCATGATGAACTTGGGGGCACTGCTGGGTGTGCTCGACTTGTCGAGACTTGCCCTTTCACCAAACCACTGCTGCGTTTACTGTCGATCTTCAGGCCAAAACATGCCGTAGAGTTCTCTTTTTGTCGAGCTCAACACTCTACAGACTCATTTTCCGAACACCTTTCACCCTAGAAGTCCAGTTCGACGATTTCTTTGACCGGCTGAAGGATCCAGGAAGTTCCCGAACTCAGGTCACCGTTCGTCAGACCATTCTTTTTATAGTTTGACCGACTCCCCGGGTTCATACGCATCTCTTCGGTGTCGCCTTTGACATGAGGTCCTCGGACCACGAGGAGTTCGGCCCCAAGGCGAGGCAATTCGGGTGGAACGGCATTCGGGTGGAAGAACCACAAGTGGGTGGGCGAAGAGTGTTAAAGGCGTGTGACCTTCCAAATGTTTGGCAGTTCTTCTAAAAAACATATCCAGCGATTCGGAGTTTGATTCGCTGTGGCAGAGTGTGTGTTCGGACTTCTCCGCCCATGCGGGAGTCTGTGAAAAAGGTGGTGACCAGTTTCTGCTCACTTTGGCCCAATCTGTGAAGACATGTAAAGGAACTTATAGGCGGTTTTTTAAGAGGTTTGGTGCCTTGGCGCAAGCGCTGCACTGCTGCCGCCGTGCACGCAAGACTTGCAAGACTTGCAAGCTGGTCAGGTTTTTCAGAGGTTTGGTGCGCAACAGATCTCTGTGATGCGTTGGTCATGTTCTCCTGTGATGCGTTGGTGCTCAACTTACAGTTATACACACCATCGGACCGACCATTGGAGAGCCTCATGGACCTCCCCGTTACTGCTAGTATGAGCCATGACTGAACCGGGGTGCTCAACACCATCCGACCTGGAAGTCTATAACTCCACCACTACAGAGCCGGGGTCAAGCTCGTCATTCTACTGGATTCTCTGGCGAGATGCGGAAAATGGGATAAAAGTCGATGAGCACCCATGGGCAGAGCTTCTGGAAGTTCAGACCCATCACCTTAGAAAGTCCAGTTCGACAATCTTTGGCACCAGCGAAGGTGTCCGGACATTGGACTCGGATCATCTTTAAATCGCCGACCGTCGACTCCCAAAATACCACGCGGGTCTTTTTGAAAGCTTTCGTTCCAGGAGATGACCTACGGCGCTTATGGCGTCTTGGTGCTGGGTGCCGTCCAATTATTGTGGGGCACCCCAGTTTTGGCGTCCCCTTTCCCTTTCCCCCAACTCTCTTAACTTTGGGTGGTTTTTCCCGGTTCCTTTGGAAAAAACAGGGGCCCCAGGTTTCTGGGAACCTGCCGGGCTCGTGAAGAGACCCAGTGGCGCCGATTGAACCGTGAAGCGTTGCCAGGGCGTGCCCAAAAAGACATGCTACATAACCCAGACGCTCCATGTATGTCATATTGACATACATTGGGATGGTTGGGGGGGTCAATGTAGGAATATATTCCATACATGGAGTGTATGGGTAACTGGCGCCTACGAAGTATTTGATCAATCGACCCAGATGACTCTCTTCGGTGTTCTTCCAGCATCAGCCGTTCTGGGGCACAGCTGGGCCAACGACTTTTAAGACAGAATTTATACAAAGGTGGAACTCATTAAAGTGCCACGTAAGCATTGTTCAGAGCAATCGATCCTGTGAAAGCTTGCGAAAGCACCTTGTGAAAGCACCTGACTGTGCTGTAACATTCAAGTGGCGAAAGCACATCGTGCAATCGATATACTTGCAAATTGCACTGCCAAAAAGCATTGACCCATTTCACTGCGACAAAAATCGAATAGGTGCCACTCAAGAATTCATAGGCCCCTTTCCATTAGGGTTTCTTAACAGGGCGGCCCCATTCCATTGCTCCCCCCATGCTCTACCATGCTCCGACATGTCTGGACATCCCACGTCATCGAAAACTCTGAAGATCTGGAACAGATCCCGACGTCACTGGTTCGGCCTCGTTCTATCCGCCATCCGACGAGGTATTTGGTCTGTAAGTCCACATCCATGGCCAGGTCGACCCAGCGACAAAGAGGCTACTAGGCACATCTCCGTTGTGGGGACACCATGGGTTACCTATCTATAGATGCTTTTGTTTGGCTTCACCAGCGATCTCCACTCTCCCAGCTTACCTTGGGCGAGAGCGCGGTTCCGAAGGCGGTTCCCATGTCCAGCCTGGAACCTCACATTGCGCCAAGGTTCGGATCCACGGTGGTGATCCTGAAGAAGTTCTTTCCTCAAGTTCTACATCTCTAGGAGTGAAGGTCGGCTCAGTGGCACCCAACCCGTTCGCGGTGGTGACCCTCACAACGAACGGGTGACATGGAGCCTTCACCAACATGTAGCAGTTGGTTCGGTTCCAGGGTCGCCTCTGGGAGTGAACAAACCTGACCCGCTGTGGTTGGCAGCGCTGCCAGAACTGCGATGGCCAGCCCTGTCTCTGTGCGAAATCGAAGAAATCATCGACTTGTAGAGCAGTGTGTTTTCCGCGGGCAATGGCCAGGCCGGCATTTTTTCACCCAAACAGAGACGCCACGATGCGTCAAGCCACGATGGACGTGGGTCCTCGTGCTTGCTTCGATCCACTCGGGTGCCGCGGCGTGCGGAACGAGAGCAGCCACGACGGGGTGCGGAACGGCTCCCGTTTTTGACGGCTCCCGAATGGCCTGAAAGAGGAAAGAGGTCTCGGCAGAATGGGACTCTGTGAGTGTTTTATTTTTTTTCAGAGGGTTTTGGTTTTGGAACGAGAGAAAACATGTTCAGAACATTTCAGTTCGATGCTCTCTATAGAACAGAATAACATTGGTTCTGGCAGCCCTAGTGTAGAGTCTTGATTAATAAACCCACACCATTTGGATTGAAAAACCTCTTCAGGCTCGGCGGGTGAAATATATAATCAAGAGCCTACATTGAAGAATTGACATGGGTTTTTGGACAGAAGGAGATTGCATGCAGCAGCTGCACACCCCCGAATCCTTTAATCAATCCATGTCCTCCGCGTTCTTCGATTTTCCTCCTCATCCTCGTCGTCATCTACCACCCTGAGTCACAGCTTTTCCTTTCAACACCATGTAATTTTCAACCACTTCGAGAAGTTCTGGATCATATGAGCACCGCAAGAAGCCTCCCAAGATGACCAATCCTAAGTAGCCCAGCTCATTTGTGTCTTCTATGTGTCTTCTGCTCTTCTCGTTTTTCTTCCAAAACCCATCCGACGTACATCGTGCCACGGGTTTCGGAGACGCGTGGCCGAGCGTGCGAGCGACGCCGTTTTGCCCGCGGGTTGCGTCGCGTGCGGCGCCGCACGTTTAGAGGCGGAGTTGCAGCACATGCGCATGGAGAACATGCGGCTGCGCCTGCGACTGGCTCAAGCCGGATTGCCCTTGGGCTCAGTGAGAGATACAACCCAAAGGAACGCGGAACCTTCGGTCTTGGGCGGCACGGAGTTGGGGCGGCGGAACCCATGTTTGGGGTGTGGCACATATTTATATTTGGGGGGGCAGTTTTGAAGGGGCAGGGTGGTGGAGAGTTTGTGGGGTGGAGACATGTTTTTGAGCTTCTCGGAAGATGACATTCTTCCCGTCCTTTCATGTTTGTATATTTCTGCAGCTCCATGAGACTGGAATCTTTTACCTACAACCGCGACTTCAACCACCCCTGTCTGTATGTCAATATGTCAGTCCCATGTGTCGTGTTTGGGTCGACTTCTGCAGCGAAAAAAGACTTCAACGGGACTTCCCTCCCGCAGAGCTGTTGGAGCTGTGCATGACTCCAAGGTCGGTCAGACGACTATATAAAGCTCGAACATTCTTGAGCACAAACGGACCGGATTTCGAGAACTTCCTTGACTTCAGCCGGTCCAAATATCGTCGGACGGCATAGGGCATCTATGATTCATGATATAATTTGAAGCGGCTACGGGCAAGACGGCCTTCGGCGAATCCTGGATGATTTACCGAGATGCTTTTGATGATGGCAACTGCCTTGGTCGGTTTTGATGGCTGGGGATGTCGACAGGAGGCTTCACGAGACGATAGACCAAGTAGACCCTTCGAGGATCTTGCAACATCTTGCAACTCATTCCATTTCTGAAATCGCAATTTCCAGCACGCACCAAAGCTCGCACGCACGCACCAAAGTCTTGAACCAAAAAACAACCGAAGCCAAAGCAAGAGAGGTTGAAGACTATCCCATAGGTACCCCAGAATGGTTTGAATGGTTTTCTATTTACGGTCACTCAGCCTCTCTTGGGAAGCCAAACCCTCTCCTTGAATGGCCGATTCGCCCCCACCGGTTGGCCGGAACCGGCCGTTCGGCCCCGAGGTCCGACGCGGAGCCGGTCCGGAAGGAGGTCGCCAGCGAGGCGCGCCCGGAGTCCGGTGGGGTGTGGGGAACGGTGAGGGGTTCTCCAGAAGTCTCAGATGGTCTCAGAGGTGGGGAAGGTGTTTTGGTCTCAGAGGTGGGGAAGGTGTTTTTGGCTGTTTCGAAGGAGTAAATCCGGTGGATGAATGAGGATGAATCCCATGAATCTTGCACCCTTCAGGAGACGGGGGCGTTTCTATTCATCAAAAGAGGTCATCGATATTTGCACCATATATAAGGGATGGCCACAAAAAAAAGCCAAGGATTCTTTTATGTATTGTTTATAGAGCCGAAGGATGCTGAAGGCCATTGGAAGCAGTCCGATGGCGTCATCTCGGTCCGGCCAGCTGCTTGGTTGACAAGTACGACGAACATATACCCCGCATTGGCGCATCTCGTGAAGCACCATCTCGTGCGGTTTGTCTACAATACCTGGCATTGACTCCCCTCGTTCCTTCTTCCTTCTTCTTCCCAAGTATACGATAAGTTCAGTCGTTCCTTGAACAGGACAAGAGAGATTTGAAGTTGCAGCTTCGTCGCTTTCTTTTTCATGGCATGGCCCTCGGAGCTCACCTGGTTTTGCTGATCAGATGATATGATGATATCTGGTATTTTCCCGAAAAACATATCACAACCGTTCAATCCCCAGTTTCACCGGGGCGCCTTTTTCTGTCTTTCTTCCAGGCTTCCGACACCAGCGGTCGACCCTTGGCCGACCCTTTCGACTCGGTCGCTCGGACGTTCGAGGCCCCAGCAGTGAGCTCGGTGGGCTCAGTGAGGCCTCCGGCGCCGGGAAAGCGAGACTGAGACTTCGATGGGGTGGCCATTGGTCAGATGAGCCTGGAGTTCTGGCGATCCCTTCTTTGATGCTTCTGGATTTTTTGAGGGGGTGCAGGTGCTGGGAATCCTGGGAATCCAAGGTCTGCGAAGCCGGATACATTTGTCACAAGCTTCGTGACATTGGTCACAAGGCGCAGCCAAAGAGGAGGCTGCCGTGGTTTTGAAGGAACCAATCAAGGCCATTTCTGCGGGGTTTCTGCGAATGCCCAACGTCAGAGACCAGTTTGCTCGTTACTTGCTTCGTGAGAGGCAAATGATGTATCTAGGTCTGATGTTCAAAGTTAAAGGACTTCATTCTGCAGGGTGCATCCAACCAGGATCGAATGCGCTTAGGAAACGACATCCCACCAATGACCGAGGTCCTGATCATTCAATTTCAAGACTCCCAGCTCTGCGGAAGGCGTTTCCTAGACAGAACAGTATGAGATTGTGAACAACCTGGGAATATATCATCACTATTTTTGGACACGCCTTTACTTTACTAACCATCATCATCCACTGTTACAGCTATTAGGATATACCCAAGATTTAACAACCTGGGGATGATATTATACACATCCCCAGGGCGGGCAACCTTTGTAGTCGCCCGCTCCGCCCACTCCGCTCTTCGGCAATAGGTCGGAGCTGGTGGAGGCGGCGCCGGTGGCAACTGGAGGTGGCTGGGACAGAACAACAAGAAGGGCAAGCGAGTCACTTGCTTTCTCAGAAGTAGCACTCCTACTCCTTCAATCTGAAACTTGCGAGACTAAGGTTTTCTCACTTGATATAGATGCTGAACGCTTCATCAAAGAATATTAATGTGTCATTCATGGCCTTTTCCTCAGAGACCATTGGAGTTCGCCCTAACGACGCAGAACCCCGCAGTTTTGGCAAGTGCTTCTTTTACAACCTTGGCCCTAAGCTGTGTCTTGAGAAAGGCGCCACCATTAACCAGAAGGAAAACCATACATTTTGAATCATTTTGATACCCTCTGGACATCTTGACCCAAATTGACAAACCAAAAGTGTCTGGTAATGTGGTAATGCACTCCCTCGGCTTCACACGGAAGCTTGTTCAAAAGGCAAGAGTGGACAGGCTTTGGGGTCTAATATAGCTACATGCCTTCGATGCCTTCGTGTGCATGCGAAGCCTTGCCCTTTCAGCTCAAGAGGGCATTTTGCCTGACCACGAAGTCGAACTTCCTCCTGGTTCTTCAGGTGACCCTTTGAGATCACCGTTGGCGTTGGTTCAGTCAAAAGTGGCCTGTGGAAAGGTCACGACTCGGCACTCCCAAGAGGTCCAAAAGAGGTCGAAGCTGGATGACCAATTCTGGGCAGGGCCGTACCAAGAACGCTGCGAACGGAACAAAGGGCATCGCTACGAACGGAACAAGAACGCTACGAACAAACCGCGCTCCAGGCATTACTATACTAGGAACAAGAAGCTACTAGGTTGGAGGCCTAGCTGTGAGATCCCAAAAATCTCCCGGCTTCGTCCTCGTCCAAGCCGCCCCAAGCCGTCACCGCCCCCGCGGTAGGGCTCCCGCCGGGCTCAGGTGCTCCTGCCGTGGTCAGTGCCGCCACTGAGGCGCCGAGAGCGACACGCGCGGAGCCGGCCATGGTGGAGCCCAGCACTCTCACAGGTGGGGAAGAGTGGGGCGGGGCGCGAGATCGCGGGGGGAGGTGGAAGTGAGGAGGTGGAAGGTGAGAAGAGGTTCCACCAGATGACCAGGTGAGGTTCCACGTACTTGGAAGTACTTGGGACATCTTGGGAGATTTGCTGGAGTTTCTCCCGAACACTGGGCGGTCGTTGCTGCACTTGTCCTCAAGTTTGGAGTCATGGTCAAGTAAGTGTCACTCTCACTTGCCCAAGTTGATGCAAATGCATGCAAGGCCATGACCGAAGGGACAGAAGAGGTCAGAAATGGTGGTCACATCATCCTTAAGGTTGGTACCCTCAACTAGCAAGACCCCGCACAAAAAGAACTCCCTTTTTTCAGGGCCTCTTCCCAAACTTATCAGGCCCCCTTCTTTTTCCTGTTCCTTCTTGATGTTCTATCAGTCTCCATCTGCCTCACATCGGAAAAAACGTAATCTATCAGTGGACCATCTATATGTGGCACATGGTCTATCTACCTTGGACGCCATCGCTATTAGGCTGGAGGCTATCGCTATTAGGTCACAGAAACACACAGACACTTATTTTTGACTGCGTTTCCCATTTTCCAGGTGGCACGTGGTCTATCTACCATTCCCTTACCGAACACCCCCCAACCAAGGCGCACCGCCACCGGCGCCGCATCGCGCCGAGGACGGCGGGATCCGGGGGAGTCGAAAGCGCTTCAGCAGTGCGTTTGTAGAAGAGTGGTCCTGTAGACTCTGGATGAGTTTTTTCCAACCCACGGCTACATGCCCGAAGAGGGTTTTGTTATGTTTTGTCAGTCCATGTACCAGGACGCGGATTTGATTTCATCCTAGACAGTCCACAAGAGAAATAGTGCT